ATTAGTGTTGGGGAAGACCACTCACTAGATAAGCCAGTCAAGAGTGGAGTCCCACCAGGAACAGTACTTGAACTGCTACTTTTTGGTATCTACACTAGTGATCTTTCGCTCATTGTATCCAGTAAGGTTTCCATTTACGCGGATGCTACAAAATTATATGTGAATCCAACTATTAACCAACATGTACTTGATGCAATATTCGAATGTTCCTCAGAATAGTTCCGCTTAACATTGAAAAATTCGTTGTTTACACATCGACAAAAATACCCCATCACTATCGTACTTTATTAATGGACATCCCTTAAACTCTGTAACACCCCACAACGATATTGGAGTGAGAATTAATAGTGACTTAAATTGGTCTATAGTGTATTTTTATGTATGAGAGAGTAATAAAACAATAAATTATGTATGCAAATCCCTAAACTGTTGATACGGGTGACTCAATGAAAAACAGATATTTGTCAACAAGTTTACAGAAGTATATAGGAAAACAATTTTAAATTGAGTATGACCACCAGGTATAAAGGTTGGAGCAGAATAGAATACAATAGTTGTGAGGGTTACTAATACCTAAATAAGGTTGAAAGTGTAGGAGTGATGGAGGTTAACAGGTACTAATGAATTTGCAAGAAATGTAAGATGTTTATTTTATTGGTTATATATAACCAATAAAAGTTTAATAAGTACCTACCTATTTGCAAAATAAAGTTTAATTCTTTAGATAAAATAAAACGTTTTATTTTATCTGGAATGAGTGCATTCCACGAAGTAAGGGTTTCAACAATCAAACATTTAATTCTTTAATTCCAGGAATCTACGACAGTAATTGACTAGATAATTACCTTCTAAACTTATTCCACAGAAAATGTGATAGTGGGTTTTTCCATTTTGTAGGAAGGTCCAAGTGGCATATTCAAAATTCTTAACAGTTCACTAAAAGTAGGTACTTCAGTTGCAAGGTGCAGTTTATTGTGTATACTAGTGTTATGGAAAATTTGGAAGTGCCGTGTAAACGCCGAAAAATTGGTCCTTTAACAGTTAATGAAAAACATTAATTTTTAATTGTTTTAAATCATTTACAGACAAACGTTTATGTGAAAGTGTTGATGAGACCGTTGAGTTAGTTAGCAGTACACTTGGTGTTGGGAAATCTACGATTTACAGAGTTATTAAAGAAGAGAAATGTGGTATTTTTCAAATGCCACTTAATGCTCCAAGGAAACCAAAATTTCAAATAGAATATCATTTTAAAGAAGGACTTCGACGGAAAGTGCATGAATTCTTCTTTAGACAAGAATTTCCAACATTGGATAAAGTTCTTGTCTCAGTTCGAGATGATAAGGATTACCCAGAAATGAGTCGAAGTACGTTATGGAAACTTTTAAATGAAATAGGCTTCCGCTGGAAAAAGAATCCCAGAAAGTCTATTTTATTAGAAAGAAGCGATATTGTCATATAGAGAAGACATTTTCTAAGAACCATAAAGGAAATGAGAAACCAAAAAAGAAAAATATTTTATCTTGATGAAACATGGATCAACGAGGGTCATACACCAAATAAATTTTGGCAGGATGAAACTGTTACAAGTCAAAGGCACGCTTTTGTAAATAACTTATCTACTGGTTTAAACCCACCATCAGGAAAGGGACGCAGGTTGATAATAGTACACATTGGCAGTTCAGACGGTTTTGTTGAAGGTGGTTTATTAACTTTTGAATCAACTCGTACCGGTGACTACTATGAAGACATGAACGCTGATGTCTTTCAAGAATGGTTCGAACAAATGATAGATCTTCTTCCTAAGAACTGTGTAATAGTAATGGATAATGCAAGTTATCACTCCAGACTTATATAAGGACTGCCCACAACCAAGTGGTTAAAAAAAGACTTGCAGAATTGGCTGAGTTCAAAAAATATTACGTACCATCCCGGATCTATAAGAAAGGAACTTTATTCGTTGTGTGCCCTTCATAAAGAAAAATTTTAAAAATACGAAATTGATGAAATTGCCAAAAATCGTGGAATGACAGTACTTAGATCACCACCATATCATTGTGAATTAAACCCGATTGAACTGGTATGGGCACAGATAAAGAGTGAAGTTTCAAGAAAAAATACCACTTTTAAAATTCATGATGTTAAACAGTTGTTTTTGGAGGGCCGTAAATAATGTAAAAAAAGTTCATCTTCTGAATCTGATTTGGATTTGTAACAAGTAGCTGTAAGTTTTATATTAATATTTTTATTCATCTATTTAACATACCTTAGACGGTTTTAAACACTCTTTTTCTCTTTTGTAATTTTTAAAAATTAAAAAAAATGTGAATTTTTTAAAACCCTTTTTAATGTAGGCCAGTCAGTTCTAATATAGTGTGTAATAAAAGAGGTCACATTTGTTTACATACACATAACACTTTATAACACTGAAATAATTCATTTATTTTGTACAATTATTCAAAGTAATTTTTCAATTAATCTTGAGCACGCCCATGGAGAGGTCGAAGGTACCAGTTAAAATTATGCTAATTACTCTCTCGTTCATAAAAATAAACTATAATCACATAGTGTCGGTGTGTAAACGTGCCAACTCGAAACTGTTTTTGATTCGTAAATGTTTTACACGTATATCCCTGTCCAAACATGGACGACAGAAGGCTAAGAAGAAGAAGAAGAAGAAGACCTAATTAGGAAGATAGGCTATCCATGGCTCGTCTCAAAACATTCGAGCAGCGACGTCTTCGATGTGACCTAATTATGTCTTTCCGTATTTTAAAACATAATTTTGGGAACCTGAACACCATATTTACTTCAAATCAAGACAAATTAAAGAGGGAACAAACTACTGCAAGGTCCAGGGTGAACTTCTTGCCAAATAGAATTTGGTATCTAGAAAAATTTGGATAAAGACACATATCAGCAACTAAAACTTGTATTTTTAACATATTTAAAAATAAACTTGATAGTGCTTTATTTTATTTAGAGGATTGTGTTATTTTAGGACCGCGTTATTTATTTATTGTTTCAGAATTTCTGTATGATGTACTTAATTGTATCTTTATATTTGTTATTAGTTTTAAAATGATATTTTCCTTTGTTTTTTGGGCATAATAGGAGCTCGCTCCTCTGTCCTCATTTGTTATATAATAACAGTAATAATAATTTAACTTCAAGAACCGTTGGTCGTTCCTACATTAGCTACAACAAAATTATTTATAGAAACTGATTTGAAAGTTCTGGAAATTCTTTAATCTGTATGTTATTATCGTTTTCAAACAAATCTGTAACCAAGATCTTTACCACCACATTTAACTATTATTATTTCTTTGAAGCTATGCTTGTGGCATTTTAAAGTGATTACTATTTAAATGGGAATAAGCCACAATTAAAAAGTTCTCCTTCTTCAAGTTCCACTCCTATCAGAGATTGGAAATCATTCTGGCAATTATAATTTTAATATAAGGTTGAATGTTCGAATAATTAAACTTTGATAGTATACAAGGCAACTATCGAACACAGTGATTAATTAAATCTTGCCCAAGTACTTTCGATCAATAGATCATCTTCAGGGGCATTTCGTCAGTTGTGGCCTATCCGACATGAGTAGAATGTCATAAATAATGTAAATTTGGACATAACAATACAATACACAAAGACAAACAAACACTTTAAAATTTTTAAAAGGAGAAGCTACATGTTACATAGAAACCGGAAAAAGAAAACTTGTGGTAAGCTTATGTGCGGTATTTAGTAGATTTTATACCTCTATAATTGTTGAGATCTTCTTTATCTCCTTTTTTGAACATTGGTATCATTATGCTATTTCTCCATGCATCTGGTACATTGCAGTGCAATATAAGTTTTTGTATAAGTTTTGTGATCTCTAGGCTTAGACTTTCCCCGTGTTTTAGAAGCTCGTTGGTTACTCTATCTGGTCCTGGTGACTTTCTATTTTTGAGTGAATTTATGGCTATCTCTACTTACTGATAACTGATTTCCATTTCATGTCTTAATTCAGTTACGTTATTTTGTTGATTATCATTTTTCTTTTCTTTAAACAGTTCCGTCAGGTATCTTTCCCATTCGTTTGCTGGTATGTTATTGTATCCCTTCAATTCTGCCATTTCTTTCCTTTGGTTTCTTATGAATCTCCATATTTCGTTCTCCGTACTCTAGGAGCCGCTTTCCACCCTTTTTTTAAACTGCTGTCAGTATTCATTCTTTGTTCTTCTCACCCGTTGCTTTATTTCTTTTCTGAACCATGGTGTGTTGTTGTTGATTCTTCTGTTTAGTATGACTTTGCGTTTTTATGGAGCTTCTGTTGCTGCTTCTTCAATATTGTATTTAATTTTCTCCAGCTCGCGTTCATATCTTCGATGTCGTCTGTTTGTTTCAGCTGTATCTTCTGTACTAGCCTCCTTTGGTACATTTCTCTTGTAGAGTCATTCCACGGTGATTTAACATTGAATTTTTCCTCGGTGATTTCCTGTAGAAAATGTTTCGGTGTTATTTTCATTCTTATTTTTGCTAGTGCTAGTTTGTGTTCACTCCCTACGTCTGATGAGTTTAAAATTTGGATATCTAAAATCTGCTTTGGGTGGATTTTTCTATTAGTGACTATAAAATCAAATATAGATTTGTGCCTAATCACAGATTAGTATTATATAAAGTACAAATTACACAACCTAATTTTTAATGTTTCAGCGTTTATTATTTGTTCATCAAGTTGCTTCTTCAGATTGCAATAATTAATGATTTTGTTGTTTAGTAATACTGGTAATTTTCAAAATGGTTTCTTATTAGTACAATGTTATAAGGTCGAGAACTTGCTTTTCATTCCTCAATATAATTTTGACTAGCCTATTAAAATGTTTTTATTGGTAAATTATTTCGAATGTTATAATCAGTATCCCTTGAAAGCTTCACATAAATATTAAATATATATTTTTTTAATATTTATTCCTAAGTATTTTTTTTTTGTTGCAGGATGACAACTGAACATGCTTGAGAAAAGACCATGGTCAAAGTTGGTAGTTTTTCTACTGGGATTTGTGATATTGTTGTTATTATGGCACGAATTATCAACCCCTCGTTATATAGTAGTTCCAGCGTCCACTACAATATCTACACCATACACAGTATTGACGGAGGATGACACCGGTTTTCCTGAAAAAGTTCTCCATGTACCAGAGAACGATTACAACCAACTGATTGATCTCAACTTTAATTTTTCTATGATTAACTTCATTTGCAACGAAACCATTCCTCTGTTACTTCTAGTATTAGTGCATTCAGCGCCAGTAAACTTTGATAAAAGACAGACTATACGAGAAACGTGGGGAGAAAAGGAAGAAAACGTGAAAGTATTATTTATGGTTGGCAGTGTTCATTCCGAGCACTTACAGAAGATGATCGAAGCGGAAAACGTGTTGCACAATGACGTTATTCAAGGCAGTTTCGCAGATACATACAGAAATCTTACTTATAAGCATGTGATGACTTTGAAATATTTCGTTTACCATTGCCCTCAAGCCAAATATATCTTGAAGACTGATGATGATGTATTTGTCAACATGCCAACTATGAAAAATTTTCTGATCTACGATTTATCCCCTCATGGTGCTAGGAAAGGTTTATTTTGTACACCTAGATATAATAGTTTAGTCTTAAGGTCCTATAGATCAAAATGGAGGGTGTCTTTTTCGGAATATCCGGAACGGGTTTACCCGGCGTATTGCCCAGGGTGGGCGCTGCTCTACACGCCAGATGTGATATTTGCTATTTACAAGGAGGCTCAGAAGTCGCATTTCTTTTGGATAGACGACATCCACATTACCGGTACTCTTTTTAAGAAACTTAATTTTACTCATACCGATATTGAACCGTTGGTTTTATCTGAATCTAACTTATACAATATCGTTTATAGATCTTATAACGTATCTCAGCCGTTCCTTTTTGGGTCGGCTAATATGCTAGAAACAGAAATAAGGAAGCTATGGAATTTTGTTAAAAAGCGCGAAGCGCATAAGTTTATATTTAGTGATATTACTACAGTTTAACTTAAAAGATTTATAGAACATATTTTGATTGAAAACAATTTCAGATAATGAAAGACTTAAAGAAAGAATATATTTGGTATGTTTTAGATCTCTATTACCCCATAACCAAATAGTTCTCAAATTTAGTCAGTTTGCTGTAAAGCAGCGATTCTCAAACTTTTTTTTACATGTACCACTTATATAAATTCTGCGTCAATCGCGTACCACCTATTAAAAAAGTAGATAATAAAATTGTCTAATTTTGGCAAAAATGTATTTATTTAAAAAAGGGCATTATAAATGTTACAAAATAAAACTTACAGTCTGACCCAATCCAAAAATTCAGTGAGAAGAATGGTTCTGCATAGCTACAACAAGTAAATCGATATCAGGATCAACTGTGCTTAGTTTCATTCGTAAATTTGGATCAACATTAAGCCTACTGCGAAATTTATTTTTCAGTTGTAGCATAGCAGAAAATCCAGTTTCACACAGGAAGGTTGTCTTGAAAGGAAGTAAAAATAACAATGCTTTTTCTGATAAGGCTGGATATTCATTTTTAATATTTAGCCAGAATTCAGCTAATTCTAATTTAGAAAACTCTATTTTCAAGTCTCCATCACAAGATAGTTCTATTAAAGATTCTTTTTCATCGTGTTTTAATGATTCAGGAATGCTATCCAAAATAAATGGTTGTCGTATCCAAAGAAACTGAGCATAGTCTTCGTCAAAATATTCTTTAAAACTATCAATTAGCATTTGACAATGCTGTTTTATGTTAAAAATAAGATCATATTTAATCTTTATTTCATGCTCAACCACAAAATTTTCTAAATTGTACATTAAAAACACATGTACTTCAGAACGCAACTCGAATAACCTGTTCAACATTTTTCCTTTTGATAGCCATCTTATCTCCGTGTGTAGCAATAACTGAATATGATCACTTCCCGTTTCAGAGCATAGTTTTGAAAATAAACGCGAGTTTAAGGCTCGAGATTTTTTGAAATTGACTATCTGAACGGCTTCATGGAGAACATGTTTAAATTCATCGGGCATTCGCTTTGCTACCAAAGCTTCTTTGTGGATACTACAATGGGTAAAAGTACAATTTTCTGCAACCAGTTTTACTTTGGCAGTTACACCTCCGTATTTTCCTGTCATGGCTCGGGCACCATCCGAACAGAAACCAACGCATTGTTTCCAGTCTAGTCCATTTTTTAAAAAAATCATTGATTTTCTTGAATATTTCATCGGCAGTAGTTCGTTCCGTTAACGCCTCACAAAATAAGTACTCTTCTTCGATTTTGGTTTGAAATATATACCGCACATAAACCATAAGCTGAGCATAGTTTGTAATATCTGTGCTCTCATCAAGTTGTATTGCAAAAAAAATACTATTTTTTATCCGGTTTATCAATGCACTCATTGACATCAAATCAATCTTTAACATTTAATGCCATTATTTCAATCCTACGACATACGGTATCATTATATAATATAATAATATATAATACTAAGCTGTTTACCTGAATTCTATCCAAAAATACACGTTACCATATCTTGTGCGGCAGGCAGAACTAGTTCTTCGCCGATTGTATGCGCTTTTCCACACTTCGCAATTCTTAAATTCACGAGGAAGGCTGCCGGTGAAATTCGACATTAATTTTTTTGTGCCTCTCATCTCCGTTAACTTCCGAACGCAGTAATCCTTAGGTTTATTTTCCAACACTGAATGTTTTGTACTGAAGTGGCGTTTTAATAGCGAAGGTTTCATACACTGGTTAGAAAGAATTTCCGAACAGATTACACATTGGGGCCTTGGCTCATCATTTATATTCGTGAATGTAAATCCCATATTAATGTATTCAAGATCATATTTCCTAACCGCCACTTTTAGTTTTTTGATATAATTCTTTTTGTCATCACCCTGGATAGGCTCCGACTCTGAAGTGGGGCTGGATAGACCGGGATTTTCAGATGTTCTGTTGTCTCTTTTAAGCCACTTATCCGTTTTTTATATGCAAAAATTAACACGAATCAGTAACAGCAAATTACTCGTTTCGACAAAATTAACCACAACGACTGACGGCCACGAGGAAACTAATGACCACTGATGACGTGAATCAAGGGCGGTGGCAGTTTGCCGGGATTCCAGTGTTGCCAACAATGAATAAGACATTACGCGCTTGTGTTTCCAACTCGCAGCGTTGCCATGCACCACGTAAAAGATAACATTCGTTGATAAATTTGATTAAAATTCTTCGTTTCTTCTAGTTTATAGAGTACCACCTTAAAGTTCTTTGCGTACCACCAGTGGTACGCGTACCACAGTTTGAGTACGGCTGCTGTAAAGGCTATAGCCGTATAAGATTTGGAACCATTTTTATTTTGGGTTGGGCATTTGAAAGTACATATTTCGAACATCTTAAGCCAAATTTTTAGCTGTCTAAGTGGACCCTGGGGTCCCTTATCGCAAAAAAGTGTTTTTCGAAAAAAGTCCTGATCGATTCATTGTTATAAAAAATCTGGAAAAATTCACAAATATACAATTTAATGCCCAAAAACTCTCTGATTTTTTTTCAGATTTTTTGTATCAAAATTGGGTTCAGGAAAAATATTTGAGTTTTCAAAAAAATTTAGGTATGTAGGTAATTTTTGGCAAGCTTCTAAATTATTATTTTGCTAGTATTTTTTCTGTTCTTTTGAATGGCAGGGTTAGATTTTTCATTTTTTCTCCGGAAAATTGTCAAAATTCGAAAAAATCCATTTCTTCATGTTTTTCCCATGGTTTTAGCACATAACATCAAATGTGTGTCAATAAATAACGATTTTATATTCAAATTGAATGCAAGGTATAATATGAAAATAATACAGGTTTATGCACCAACAACAGACCATGATGAGGAAGAAGTGGATCTATTCTATGATGATATCGAAGCTGCTCTTAAAGGCCATCAAGGACATTTTACTATTATATGTGGTGATTTCAACACCAAAACAGGAATGAAATCCAACCCTACAGAAACACCACTGGGAAACTTTGGCTTGGATGGTAGAAAAACGTGCAAAATACTGTAAAGGTTCGTGCTGCGACATGAACTATTACAAATGAACAGTTTTTCAAAAAGAAACCATAAAAAGGATGGACATGGAAAAGTCCTAATGGAAAAACTCAAAAAAGAAATAGATTTTATTATCACGGACAAAAAACACGCCGTTAAAGACATATTCTAAACAGATTTGTTACCAGTAGCGATCATAGAATGGTATGAGGTAAAATAGAAATAAGCTTAAAGAAGGAGAGGTATAAGATGTTTAAAAAAAGAACAAATCAAAACCATGGATGAAACCATCAGATGTAGATAGTTTTCAGCAATGTATTTCCGAAATACTGGAAAGTCAAAACCAAGTCTGTCCTAGAACTCAAAAAAAAGAGGAGATTAGTCAAAATACTAGGCAACTAATACAGAAAAGAAGAGAGATGAGAAGCGAGACGGAAACTAAAGCTGACGAACTACAAAAATTAAATAAGGAGATATCCAAAGCTGTTAGATAAGACACTCGAAAGTACAACCAAGAACAAATCGAACATAACATTGAGAACAATAGAAGTATGAAAGTATTGAGAAAAAGACTAAGAACGAGGACAAGGCAGATAATAAAGATTAAAGATAGAAATGTTGATCTTACAACCAACAGAGAGGAAACCCTTAAAATAGTTGAAGACTCCTACACATTGCTGTACATAAGCCAACAAAAATAGCAGAGAAGATCAAGTACCAGAAATATTAACAAAGAAAAAGGGCATTGTCAACCAAGGATCAGAACTACTACCAGAAATCACAATGGACGAAATAAAACTAGCACTAAGAAAAGCTAAGAATAACAAATCTTCATTCGAAGACTGTGTAGTTACTGATGCAATTAAAATCGAAGGCACTTTAATAAAAAACCTTTTTAACATGTTCCTTTTGGACAGTAATATAACCGACAAATGGCACAATGCTGAGGTAATTCTATTACATAAAAAAGGAGATCACCGTGAATTAGAAAACTACAGATCTATAAGTCTTCTTAGTCACCTATACAAACTCCTTACAAGAATAGTAACGAATCGTCTTAACTATCATTAACGAATCATTAAAACGGTAATGGAAAAGACTATCGAATAATATCGACCACTCGTTCTGGAATAAAATCCTGGAAGCACTACAAGCATATCGCTTAAACTGTTTACCGTAGTACTAGAATATGCTTGTAAAAACATTACCTGAGAAGAGAAAAGCCTGAACATTGCCAGAACATCTATAAAAGATTAACAAATTTGAAATTCGCAGATGACATAGTTTTGTTCTCGGACAGCCTCAGGGAGATATGTAAAATGTTACATGAACTTCAGTTAGTGTGTGCCAGTGGAGTCTTAAAATAAACATCTCCAAAAAAAACATTCATGACAAACCTGTAATAAATAATGTTGTGGGGTGGTAAATAACTTGTTGTTGTAACTTAGTTGCCCATTTATTAATCACTGCTTGTACAATCTTTCACTATTAATTAATCTTAAATATATCAGTACTTAATTGACGCTGACGATAGATGATGCCTTACTGGCCATAGTGTCGGTATATTAATTAAGATCCCTGAGAGAATGATTGTTGGGGCTTTTATAGTAGTCCTTGCTATATCAGCAAATGTTTACTTATTAGTATGTCAAGTTTGTTCATGACCTACGCCAAGCATGTGGTGATCGGCAATAGTGCTGACTACCAATTCTAATTAGAGTATGTTATTTATGAATGTCCTCGAATATATTTATATAAACAAAATGTTAAATGTTAAACGGGTATGAATTATAATATTTTATATATGTGAATTCTAATATTTAAGGAATAACACCACAAACCTAGTACCTAGCAGAAATATCAATATTGGAGACAACGAAGTAGAGCTGGTGGAAAAATACATATATCTTGGACACGAAATAAAGATCACAAGAAACAACCAAACATACGAAGTAC